AGAAGATAAACCTCTAGATCTTTGAAATCTGAAGCCTTATCATACTAATTGTCTTTAAATAAACCAGAAAACCACATATTGAAGGAATATGGTAGTGTTTTCTAAGTAGTAGTCTGTAGTGTATTTGATTGATGTGAATTTTAACACATTAGCCTGTACCTGAAACGCACTCATATTAGCGGTATAAGGGCAGTGAATTCATTCTGTAAAATGAACATTTATTTTAAACACCTAATTAATTTGTCCATTTTAAGGCTTTAAAAAATTTAGCACAAATTTACCCTTTCAGATATGCGGGTCGCTGGAAGACTAGTGGTTATGCCATTGTACTCTCACCACCGCCGCCCGGGTTCGATTCCCGGCCAGGGGACCAACCCCAGTGCGCTCCCAGTGCCGGTCCCAAGCCAGGATAAAATTAGGGAGGGCTGTGTCAGGAAGGGCATCCGGCGTAAAAACTGCCGTGGCGACCCCTAATGGAAGCAGCCGAAAGAAAAACGATACCACAAAACCTTAGGGAACCTGTAAATAACTGGAATTACTTTTACCTTTTAAGAGAGCTTTGGTAAGACAAAATCTTGTTAGACTCTAACAGTTTGTAGACTTAAATTCATGTTAAACACAGTCTTAGAAAAAAAGTTCTTTAGGGTTCTATGTAGAGTTCTATAACAGATTTTCTTTTCAGAAAAGGTTCAAAGTAACCCCTCTTTAAAAAGAAAACAGTTAACCATCCAAAGATCCCAAGCGCTAAGAATGTAACTTTTATATGTTTATTGAGAATTCAACTGTCTTTAGACTTCTGTTATAAGTGAGTTTCCAGTCTGTGAGGTTTTCCTTATTTTCTCAGTACAGGGAAACATGTCAAAATGATTGCTTTTGGTAATAGTATGTATGCTACAGATGTGGTGGTGGTGAATAGGTTGAAAATGCTGGAGTGTCCCTTTATAATGCTGAGTTCTGTCTGAATTGTTGCATGTAAAAATTCTTAGCTGCCTTCTCTTTACATTGTGTAGGTAAGGACCATGCAAAGTTTTCCCCAGTGGCCACCGCTAGTTATAGGCTACTTCCTGAGATCACATTACTGCAGACCATTGAAGGAGAAAAAGCTGAGAGATTAAAGCACTGCTTCTCACCTGGAGTTATTGAATTGGAGGATGTTGATGGTACAAATCTCTCTCTCTCTCTCAGCCAGATTATTCACAGCCTCAGTAAAGCACTAAACACTTTTTCAGACAGAGATGTTCTCATAGATTTTTTATTTTTTTTTATACAAAATTTCACTCAAGGAAAACAAGTGGCTAAGGTGATCAACAGTCGTCTGGATACGTGCAGCAGAGAAGTGCTTAGGCACGATGACCTAAAGAACTTGGTCAAACTCGGAAGAGTGCGGGACCATTTCATATGTATGTATTTGAAGTACGAAAGTTTATTTAACAGTGATTGTTCTTCCAAATACAGCAGGATGAGGTCACTGGCTAATGTTCTTCTTGTCTCTCTCTTTCAGTCTCGGTGGAATCTACTGGAATTTTACCTCCTGATGTCTTGGTCAGTGAGGCAATTAATGTACTCATTGCAAAGTGCCAGAAATTTCTGACTGAGCTCGATTCAGTGACTGAAATGGAATAGAGGGATGTTGGACCACTTGTACTGACGGCAACATTAACAGGACCTCATGACCTTGAAAGTGCTGTAGGATTGGATAGCTGAAGCAGTGCATGATTAGGGAGTGTTTTCTTCCCTAATTATAAAAGCCTTGAGTCCTACAGGAAGCCTTGATGACATTAGATCCTTATCAACACAGATTATAGTGTTAAGTTAAATGGACATGGCTACAAGAGCTAGTGTTATATTCTCATTCTTAAAACATCTGCTTTGCTCAAAGTAGGCATTGCTTGGCTGGTCCTGATGAATGACTGTGAGCTTAAGCTTTATTTTTGGCACATGCCCATGTCTAGACAAAGGCATCAATGGTCAGGTGAAGCTCAGTGTTCATATTTCTCCGTAAGTTTTGTTTGACATGAGACATTGTACATTGTTTGTATTAAATTTATTGACAAAATGTCACTCTGGTACTCCTTGTTCTCCCTTTGAAATGTGTTTTTGTTTTGTTGTGTGTGTTGTCTTGCCTTGCGGCTCATCTGATTTCTTATTTTCTACAAAGCTACGTATTCTACTTTCTACAAATACTTCATTTGTTTATATAGTTTGAGAGTTTTGATTTTTTTTTGTGTGTGTTCCAAAAACTACTCCAAAATGTGTTTCAGTAAAATGCAACAATTTCTCCACTGAAAGCAGTTACACACTATACAATATAAAACAGTTATATAAAAGCAGTTAAACAAAACAATATACATCCGCATCCATAGAAAATGACATTTGACTATCCATATTTGTGTATGGCTTGAGTAGGATCCCCTTCACACACAAATATATACACACCTCAGCAACATTTGTTGGCTACAAAAACTCCTAGCTAACATAACATTAGGCTACGTCTTATTAATTTGGTACCATTAGCGTGCTTCATGTCATTAGCTAATGGTAGCTTATGATTAACTGAAGAGATCTGATGTGGGTGTTGCTTTATCATTCATACAGTGAGGTTTACCATTTTGTTCAATTTAACATTGTATGATATTGGTACGAAGGCTGTTTATTGAGGTTATGCTTCATGCTAGGGTGGCATTGGCCACTCCTTAGCTCCACCCATGCTGAAACTACTTTTTAAAGGAGACTGATTACTCAAGAATGTAACTATTATTTCTAGGGGTATGTTTGTGCATCTGTCTGTTGCAAAGTTGTGTTATTAAGCAGTTTTACTGTTTTTGTACTTGGACTTTACAGAACATACAAGTGGAATTGTGGCTTCCGAGTTAGCCGTTTGATCAACACTTGTACTCATTTCCTTAATGTGAAGTCTTTGCAAAGCGGTGGCTCACAGCTCAAGCTCCAATACACCTGATCCAGCTCATGGAGAGCTGAAAGATCAGCTAATGAATAGGAGCAGATGTATTGGGAGCAGGTAAAGCCAGTGAGTCTCCAGGACTGTAATAGAAGCCCTCTGATAAATATATCAGAGATAATATATTCATTCTTTTTTTTTCTTTTTTTCTTTTTTAAATCAGTATATTTAAATCAGGTTTACTCAGTATAAACATTTAAGACTTTCTTTTTTCAAAATTAGATTAATTAGAGTTTGAAGGAATATAACATTTATTCATATTATACCATTTACTTGATGCTAAATTGTGTAATTGTAGCAGATGGACTAAATTATGTAGTGCCAGTGTGACTCAGTTTGGGCACTGAACTGAGAACTGAGAATCTCAGGTAGCAGAGGTTGGCAAAGCATGCTGAGCCACACAGACTTGGCTTTATCTGATAGTTTACCCTGTGTGCCCTGTGGTTTTATTTTTTTTATTTCCTTTCTTTAGAGGAATTGGTGATGTTCAGGAATGAGACATGTATGCAGTCTTGAATATGAATACATACTCCAAAATGACTAAATTAATATTAATAATCTCTCCTTTTCTATTTAAATTAGTGTTTATTTAGTCAATTAATTGATAACAAAATTCAGCCAAACTTACAGTAACAAGACATTTATCAAATGTATTGTCCTTCTAGGGGAAACTATTTTTTGCAGCCAAGTGCCATGCCATAACCACATCACTACAGAATTATAGTATTAATAAAAACAAATACAGTACAAAGATATGACATTCAATACAAATATAAAATTGCAAGTAACATAAGATAAGATCACCAAATTTATGCAAATAAATTATCTGTCATGAGAGCAAGTAGAATTCAATAACAATGGCCACAGCCACAAAGGAGTCTTTAGTTCTTTTAGTCTTACCTCTTGGTACATTGTAATATTGTTTCCAGACATCTTTGGCAGATTGCCTGGTTTCTTTAAATATCTGTTGTAACTGCTAAATTTCATATACTGCTTCAAATTAACTATGAAAAACAAGCCTACTGGAACTTCCTTTTTTGGTTCTTTAAAAAAAAGATTCTGTTGATTTTTTTTAAAATAAATTATAAATTCAAAAATGCATTTTTCTCCTGTCACCATAAGGTGTGGGGGATGCAAACTTTTTGCAATTAACATAGCTAATTTCATATTTATACAGTGTTCTTATGTAGCTTTGCACTGCATTATTTCATTTGTAAAAACCTAGGGTCACAAAGCCCAAACAAAGTTTGAAGTGTCATACTGTGATGATGCCATCACTTTTTTGCAATGTGTCTAGAGCTTGGGTTATATCAGGAGCTTAATAACCAAACTTCTCAAAAGTTCATGATGTGTTTCATAATATATACTGCCATATCACTCATCTGTATATATGTGTATATATATACATATTCTGTTTTAATTAACTGATTAATTTGATTTTTTTTTTTATTCAGTAGGTGGTGTCTGTGCTGGCACTGGAGGATGATCAGATATAAATCCTTTCTCCTCCAGATGGGCTGCATTGCCATTGAGGCTAATTACTGGAGTAGGCTGAAGTCACTACAGCTGCACTGCATCATTTTGAGCATGTTTCTGCCAACAAACCACCAAGCCAGACACACACACACACACACACACACACACAGGCTTGTGTACGCACATGTGCAGATGCACATAGAGAAGGCAGTTTAATTTGGGCCAGAACATTATCCATGCTGTCTGGAAGCTGAAAGAGGTGACAGTAAAGTGGGTCACCTTCCTTTGTGCCGCGAGCTCGCTATCATCATTAGAGCTCCATGAAGGATGTGGAAGCATGTGGAATTAAAATGGGGAAAATCATTGAGCACTTTTTTTCCACCCTTCTTTCCCCTGTCTGACTTCACAGTCTGACTCATTTGTTTTGGCAAACACAGATCCGACTCTTTAAATGATATATGAAAAAGTTTTAAAAAGTGGCATTAAAACCAGGTCATTATACCATCGATTACTGATGTGACTTTGGAAGTTCTTCCCATTGTGCTAGGCAGACTACTGCTAAAGTAAAGTGCAGTGTGTAATCACCAATGACTGCATGAGTGAAGCCTCAGGTGTTGTAGAGCCATTACTGTACTGCACTGTAGTTATTGCTGACATAGTGAAATAGTGTTTGAGCAAGGAAACTGTCCTCAGAACGCAATGCTCTATTAATAATTAAATTATTAAGACTAGAGTACTTAGTCTAAGTAGAGACTGTTGCATTTTGCACTGTTGCATGCCAAGAACAGAACCCAGGTGTTGACACTGGCAGTCATTAACTGGATCAGTATTTCTCATTTTAGGGCATGCATATCTACTGAGAGGAATACAAAAACAATTTCATCTGATCTGGGCAGCAGATGACTCTCTTACTGGTTCAGTTATGACTGTGAGGG